TTGTTGTACTGCACTGGTAATTATGATTCGTATTAAACATCATTTTGAAGTTGTAATTAAACCCACTCGTTCTGTTCGCACCAAGCATTCTCGTCCAAAAGTCTGTTTGGCCTTTTATACGAAAAGACAAAAATGTGACTTAGATCGTTCTTCCTCTGGACTCTTCAAATGTTAAATAATCAAAATTAGATATGGCATATTGCCCTAAAAATGCAAATGTCCATGAGCCGCACGGTCAATTAGCTTTGCATATGCCGACTGGGAATATCTAATTAATTGTTTCGGTATGTAGACTTTTTAAATTCAAAAAAAGGTACGTTAGTCCCGAAATGACCTAGTTTGTGCCGAGTGGACGTTAAACCACAGTTTTCTCTCACGTTACTGGAACATTTTTGTTGATATAGACCGTACCATCCTAAAACCTGAACTGCCGTACAATAACAAGTTAGAACAAAATAGAAAGCCAGGTATCTTTCTCGTTTTCTGTTCAATGTCATTGTTCAAAAAATGTATCCCAATATGTAAAATCCTACAAATCACGTATTCAGATCGATATGCACATCTACAACAAGCATTTAACTACAAAAATATAATAATTACCGTTCAAAACGTTCAACTTTGTAACTTTGGCTGCCATTTTGTTACGTCATATGTCGTGAACTCGATATACTTTTAGCTACCCGAGTTCTCCAGTAGAAATCACAACTTCCGAGCCAATTTTTGTAGTTACGAACGCTATTTACCAATTCGTTAGTCGTATTTTCCATGAAACCGAAGAGTAACGAATACAACATACATGTAAATCATTTTTATAGGCATGGCGAGGGTCGGGCGTCATTTAGTGTTTTGAACGATACTCATAAGGTTTGGTTAGACGATATACGATGTAATGGTGATGAGATGGATATTAGCCAGTGTGCTATCAGTGGATGGGGTTTAACAACATGTCCTGTTGGTTCTGTGGCAGAAGTAGACTGTTCTTTTACTGGGGGTAAGTACAGTCAATTTTAATATTTTGATGAACATAAATTAATCAATAGAATAAATATTATTGTCTTGTTGTTCTGGACAAAAATATAGCATTTAATTCGAACTAAATTTTGATTTTACAAACCTTGATATAATATCTTTACCATACAGATTCACAGATTAGACTACTGGACGGTTTTAGTCAGTGGGAAGGAAGGGTAGAGGTTAAGGTTGGAGATAATCTATGGAGGCCCATCTGCAGCACTTTGTGGTCAAATGAAGATGCCAGTGTGGTCTGTAGACAATTAGGATTAAGGTAGGACCATGTCTTATGAACTTTCAAACCTGGTAAGGTCATTTCAAAATTTAAAAAAAGAAATCCGACATCCGTATTGGATATGTATTAGAAACTGAGAAATCCCAAAGATTAAAAACACTATTTCTCACAAATTATGCATAACACAGGAGTATACCCATTATCTTGGGCATTCATCCGCTATTTATGTTTATTGGTCTTGTAGACGTGATGGGGGTGTTGCCCACACGGATGGTAAATATGGCAAGAGTTCGTCAAATGCTTTGATAACCGAATCTAAGTGTATTGGAAAGGAAGCAGATATTGCTGATTGTCCAGCCACATTAGTTAATGACAATATAACGTGTGAAGATTCCCAGGCCGGTGTTGAATGTTACAGTAAGTTAAATTATCTTCGAAACAAGGATGTGTATTAGAGATACGCTGACATGTCCATGACTAAATCACAAATATATCTTGTTTAACAAACTAAATGGTACCAAATTTTATATACGTATATTTTATTATTAGACTAGTAGTTAATAGTGTTCCTGGAACAACTTGATATTTGCTTCATCCACTAAGGAAAAAGTACAGTCTATTTCTTTCTTGAAATTCTGAAGCACCTCTCTAATGTTTGTTCGTCAGATTGTGGCGGTGAATATAGAACTGAAGAAGGTTTCCTGGCATCCGATAACTATCCGAATAATTATCCTAACAATGAGAACTGTTTATACGTCATACGACCACCCAGTGATGGTAGATTATACAAATTAACCTTTGTTGATTTCAATACTGAAGACTGTTGTGATAAAATACAGGTAGGAAGATTTACTCAAAACGACTTGAGCTAAAAATTCCATCCAATTCCATTTATTTGTCTTACTCAACGCCACAATAAGATTTAACGACGTCTTAATAAGATGTCGGTTCTCTCTTTAAAATCAGAACTGGTTATGGTCATTACCTTCCAAAACAAAGAATCTCAAAATGTTTCTGGCCAATTGAACACACTTCTAAAAGCTGTCGTTAGATTGAAATTGTTGTGTAAAAGTAAAAATTATATTTTTTGAAGTTCGTCATATCTGTATTTCGGGTAAAATTATAATGTTGGATGTTTTGTATACATATATTGATTTTAGATCAAGTTATAATGTAAGGAATTGTTTATAATTATATTTCAGATAAAAGTATTAAATGAATCATCCAGTAATAATATAGATGGTAAAGGTTCTGTATACTCTGGTAGTTCCATACCACCGTTTGTATTAGGTACAGCATTCTCTATAACATTTACATCAGATGGTACTAAAGGTTTAAAGGGATTCAACGTCCATTGGGCTCGTAAGTTGCATTAATTAGAAATATACTCTTCAAAAAAGTAGGGGATATTCAGAAACAATACAAAACTGCGGAAATACACTGCTGTTTTTATTAGGGGTAACCAGTGTATGTTAATAACAGGCCAATTGCCTACACATAAACATAAACAGTTCATATGGGCGGCGTATCTGACGGCCCCATTTCACTCGCAAAGAGATACACTACTGTTAAAAGTGAAAATGGACGTTTTTGATTATTGTCTTAATAATGAGTAATTGCTCTACCAATCCTCAGACATTCAGCAATTCGTCGTGGCATGCTCCTAATCAACCGTCCAATCCCGATTGGGGGCAATCTGACCCACTCCTCTTACAGTGCCACGGCCAATTCTTGCAGTGTTGTCGGTTGACGTTGACGTCGACGAACACGTCTCCCGATCATGTCCCAGAAATGCTCTATAGGGGAAAGGTCAGGACTCGTGGCTGGCCAAGGCATATGGACAATATGGTGACGTTGGAGGTAGTCATTCACAACACGAGCACGGTGGGCACTTGCATTATCACCTTGAAAGATGAAACGTCGACCTGCACGTTGAGCAAAGAGCAGAACTATCGGTGCCAGGATGTGGTCACGGTAGTACATACCAGTGACCCTTCCTTGAACAATATGCAAGTCCGTTCTGCCAGTCATGGTGATTCCTCCCCACACCATAACAGACCCACACCCGAATCTATCATGCTGTCTGACGTTAACGTTAGTATGGCGCTCATTTACACGCCTCCAAACGCGAGTACGCCTATCGGTGAAATCCAGACTAAATCTGGACTCATCTGAGAATATTACACGCACCAATCGACGATTACCCCAATTTCTACGCTGCCTACACCATTGACGCCTGTTTGCCATGTGCTGGCGAGTTAATGGAGGCACAACACGCGGTGGTCACGCATGCAAATGCTGTCTGACGTTAACGTTAGCATGGCGCTCATTTACACGCCTCCAAACGCGAGCACGCCTATCGGTGAAATCCAGAGTAAATCTGGACTCATGTTAGAACATTACACGCACCAATCTACGATTACCCCAATTTCTACGCTGCCTACACCATTGACGCCTGTTTGCCATGTGCTGGCGAGTTAATTGAGGCACAACACGCGGTGGTCACGCATGCAAATGGGCTGCATGTAGCCGATTTCTAATCGTTTGGGTTGTAACTCGAATTCCTGTAACTTGGTACAAGTTTAAAGAAAGCTGATTGGCCGTTTGTCCTCGATTTCGCAGGACCTGTGTACGAATGTATCGATCCTGGGCTTGTGTAGTGGCTCTAGGACGACCTGAACGAGGTCTATCATTAACATTGTGTGTTTTTTGGTACCGGTTCCACATACTGCTGATCATAGACTGTGACACATTAAGCATGTTGGCTACTGCTCGCTGTGTAGAACCCATTTGAAGCATGCCAATAGCACGTAGACGTTCATTATGTTGAAGACGTCTCATTAAACGTAACACACTAAAGCAAAGATACGCTTAACAGTAAATCTTATGCAAGAACCGATAGGAAAGCAAAAGTGGCTAGGATAAACCAGCACGCAGCAGTTTTCGTCAACCCTTCCTTGAAGTGTCAAATTTGACAATGAACTCCTCCCACGTGTATGGCGCTATTGCGTGTCGCATGACTTTGTGCAGCTCAGTGGTTCTGTTGGGGCGATAAGTTCTTCATCTGTGAACATACTATCAAAGCATGAAAAGTGTCCATGACTATTTATCATATCACAACCTGCATAGGTATTTGTATTTCAATATCCCCTACTTTTTTTGGAAGAGTAACTTTCGACCAACATCAAGAGATTTTAGCTAAGACTATATCTGGCGTTGACCATATGGCGTGTATACCGTCCGCAAAGGAAGGGGAATGATGCCAAATTGTCATTTTATAATATCTTTGCAAATACTAAACGGAATTAAACCATTATGTACTGATTTTCCTTTAAGGGGCCCAACTTTCACAATATTGTAGTTTCTGAGGGATTCAATATCCCATAAGTGACGATCGTAGATTTTGAACGAGACCTTCAATCAAATTCTGTGAAGATATTAAATAACAGCCTCTGAAAATATTTAGTTTTTTCATTACTTTATGTTTAAATCTGTCTATATTCATGTAAATATTGAGCTGTTTATTAGATGATTGAAAAGGATAAATCCACTCCTGAAACATAGGAACAGACTGCAAGTAATAATGAGTTTTGTGAACTTGACAATATTTGATACAGTTTCATTTTATACTGCAGATGTATCACCTTTTCTATTTTTCAGCCACTGGCATTCAGGATGTGATCAATGCTACTTGTGACGCAGGGTTCTATTTCATACAGATATATGTACCATTATTAAAACAAGTTTACCCTTTCACGACATTAACATCTATAGGGTTAAGTGATCCTAATTGTACTGGTGTTCAACATGGTGATACATTTCTTATTAAAGCACCAGTTTCAGCCTGTAATAGCCAAGTTAAGGTGAGTCTGGTATACAGTCAGCTATCAAAGTAATTATAACGATGTGATTGGTACTAGTTAAACAGTTACAATATGCCTGCTGTCATCATTTTGAGAATATATTTATTTTTCTGATATTTTAGTCGAATGGTGTGATAAATACATATTCTAATTATGTTGTGGATAAAGTTTTTGCAACGGACTCAAATCTTATTGTTCGTGGCAATCGATGGAGGATGCCAATAATATGCTCAGTTCCGTCGACTAAATCTTTTGAAGTACATTACAACCCATCTTCTGACATGCGTAGAAAGCGACGCGAACTCGATTACACAATTCACAAAAATAAATCGTTCCCAGTCACCATAGATAGTTATACTGATGAAACCATGACAACAGTAACCAACCTCCTTGATAAATATGCACTTGGTGATGACATGTATCTTCGAGTTAAACTTCTAAGAGGAGATGACGATCTGAATTTAGTTATAAAAGATTGTTATACGAACCCTACACGAGATATTAACTATAAACAGTATTATATCATCAATAACAGGTAGGTAACATTGATTTAATTGTTTCAACATTTTAACATAGAAGAAGAATGAGAAATAAAATTGTAGCATCTGGTCCATAGTAGAATAGCGCTTTCACTGAAGGTAACTGTACATAGTGTTTACAATTTCTACAATGTACATTATCTAATATATCTTTATTTTTTAATTTTTTAAGTTGTGAAGTGGACAGTGAAACCCACATTCTCCAAAGAACACAGCAATTCACCGATTTTAAGCTAAGTGTTTTCCAGTTTACTGGTGAACAGCCTTATGTTTATTTGTACTGTGTGGTGTATGTGTGTACCAACACAGATACGTCAGGACAATGTAGCAACACGTGTACCAAATCTAGCAACAAAAGAGATATAGAAGAGGATTTTGCTAACAGCCACATTGTTAATTTTGGACCAATTAACGTCAAACACTAAATATGATTGTTTAGTTTCTGATATAGTTTTGTGTAGTTTAATTGGGCGTAATGGCCAAAGATATTATGCAATTAAATCTGATAATTTTCAAAAGAACCCATTTTCTTCCTAGCAATCTACTATATCTCCAGAGTGTTCTTGCCTCTTTAAAGTGAACTATCCCCATGTAATATTTACACTCTGCTTTTATTTTCCATAAATGTTTATATTCTATATCTTTATTTTATCTAAAGCACGTACAAAATAAAATGAAATCACAAAAATACAAGTTAAAAATAGATGCAAGTTATATTTTTCATTATGTTATTTACACTATTTTACATGAAATATTTATACATGTAGATGCTTGTTATTGGTATATAGCATATTAATATATATTGTAATGTAGATGTATTGAATACATAATTAATGTAATAGTCTAATTCATGATAATGGTAAAATTATTCAATTATTCAATGTGTAGCATCTGTACAAGGTTCTGATAATTATTTATAGATGAACTAACACTAAATTAATATTTCAACACTAATTAGTAATTCAATACACACTATACACATGAAGATTAATATTAGACTACCATAATATGAACTAAGATTCGTTTAAATAAGAATCAACATAGATTAGTTCGAAATATGGTTAGTTCGTGAAATTTAGCAAAATTAATCTACTCTAACGTAGCAATATATCTGTCCCTGCAAAGTGTTTTATCATAATTTCAATTCCAGTTTATTTCACTGAAATCTTTTTTCACAAAACTTTCCAAAGCTCCTACTAGGGATGGGACCAAGTGCACTTTTCTACCATCTGAAAATTCTTCAGTCTTAGGCGAAATTGATTAAAACAAAACGATTTTGGCAAAATCTTTGTTCTATCTCGATTTTTTCGCTCGGGTAATTGGCATTTTTTAAAATGGCGGCCAAAAATGTATTTTTCGAGAGTTTTGTCCTCGAATGGGCAAGATATGTGTTCCAACATGTTCTTTTAATAGGTTTTCGAGTATGCTGAGTTCAAAATATTATATTCCAAAGTGGTTCCAATAATGGCGGCCATCTTGGATCTAATATGTGGTCCAATATGCCTTTTAATATGTTTTCGAGTATGCCAAGTTCAACAAATTATACTCCAACGCGTTTCGAGCAACTGCAGCCATCTTGGAGATGTGGATACATTTCTCAAACTCGTTCTTTAAACTGACTACATGTAGTTGTTTAGACTGGATTCACTATTGAACTGACTAGATGCACTACATTGCTACATTACCAGCATTACTACATTACTCAAACTCGTTCTTTAGACTGGATTCACCATTGAACTGACTAGATGCACTACAAAACGCATAATTAGCCATAGTATATAGTATAATGATATACTATTTAGTTGTGTTATATGTTGCTTTATGATATTGTTATTGACTGTTTAGTACTAATTTTGGCGGCCATATTGGACACATCTGACCGCATGCGACAATAAAATTTAAAAAAAAATCATTTTTGGCCAAAATGGCGGCCATATTGGATTCAAGATGGCCGTCATTGCTCGACACACGTCGGAGTATAATTTTTGGAACTCGGCATACTCGAAAACCTATTAAAAGACATATTGAAACACATATCTTGCCCATTCGAGGACAAAACTCTCGAAAAATACATTTTTGGCCGCCATTTTGAAAAATGCCAATTACCCCAGCGAAAAATTCGAGATAGAACAAAAATTTTGCCAAAATGGTTTTTTTTTTCAATCAATTTCGCCTAAGAAACACCCCTGCAGATTTTTGTTTGTTATTCTGTCCCATCCCTACTCCTACATAGAGTTCTTGCCCTTTAGTTTTTCATTCAAATGTATTCAGTTAACTTTATTTGGCAAAACGAATGCTCAAAAATAAGCGTTTTAGTTTTTAAACTGTGAATGGTTTAATGAACAGGAACAACAGAACTGCTTTCCTCGTGACTTGTATTCGAATTAGACTTGTTAGCTATTGTAATATGTTCTATTATTATCTGCTATCTTTGGCCGAGGTATATATCCCATCCTAAATTTAAATAGAAAAGAAAAATCAACATAATTACAACATCGATGTAAAGAAAAATAATATACTATTCAAAAAAAGTAGGGGATATTTGATTTTGGGGGCATAATACTAAAATATGCAAATGACTACGAAAAAAGTCACTATAGAACCTAACAGAAGAAACTTTTCCAGTTACATGTGACGCCCAAACGCACCAATAGCTACCGCATGGAATGCAGGTGATGCTTGGGATCATCATGGAGGTCCAACCCAAGATTTGCACGACTCTGACTATGAATGTTACAGTCATTGTGGCATTGAATTCCAGGGTGGAAACATCAGTTTAATTGTTTTAGTGACCAGAAAACAAATTTTGATATGCGTCGACTTACCCAAAATGAAAGGTTACGTGCCCTTGGCATGCTACAGATCGGCACAACACAGGCGGTTGTGGCGCGGACGATGAATGTTTCTCAGTCTGTCATAAGCAGGCTATGGTCCAGATACCGTGATACACAATCTGTACAGGACAGACCACGCTCAGGTCGACCAAGGGCGACAACTCAAGCCCAGGTTCGATTTATCCGTACCTTGGCCTTGAGAAATCGTGTCATCACAGCAAATCAGATCAGCGCTCGTCTTCAAACAGACACTGGTGTGAGAGTGAGTGGCCAGACGATTCGGAATCGACTGCATAGGGGTCACCTTCGCGCCCGACGTCCTCGCGTGATCCCTTGTTTGAGAGATCATCACATTCAGGCAAGACGTCGTTGGTGTAGGGATCGTCAACACTGGGATAATCGACGCTGGAGCAATGTGATGTTTTCAGATGAGTCAAGGTTCACTGTTGATTTTTTGGACAGACGTAGGAGGGTGTGGCGTCGTCGAAACGAGCGCTTCCAAGACGTTATCGTCATCAGACATGATCGATTTGGGGGTGGTTCTGTTATGGTGTGGGGAGGCATCACTATTGCTGGAAGAACGGCTTTACATGTTGTTGCAGGGCGTGTTACAGGCCAGTACTACCGGGACAACATCTTGGCAGTCCATGTTGTGCCGTTCGCACGACGTCATGGCCGCCGTTTCATCTTCCAGGATGACAACGCAAGATGTCACAAGGCCAGGATCGTTACAGGTTACCTCCAACAACAGAACATCACCACATTACCTTGGCCAGCACTGAGTCCCGACCTCTCCCCCATCGAGCATGTCTGGGACATGCTTGGACAGAGGTTACGTCAACGTCAACAACGTCCTGCCAATGTCCAAGAACTTGCTGCTGCGTTGCAACAGGAATGGGACAATCTGGACCAAAATGACCTTAGACGTCTCATTAGGAGTGTGCCACGTCGGATCAATGCTTGTTTGGCAAACAGAGGAGGATTTACCCGTTACTGACTTGGTTGTGATGCTGTGGTAACTTTGCTGTTTGACCCCGGGTATCATTTTACCCTTATAATGGTCAGTCTGTGCCTTACTTAGTCAAACGATCATTTGGAATAAATCGATGAATGTGAACTTCATTTCATTTTGTCATTTGTTTCTTCGTCAGTTTCATTAGGTGACTTTAATAACACTTAAAAATCAAATATCCCCTACTTTTTTTGAATAGTATAGATTGAGAAACTATGGAAAACCTAGTCATGGAAGTTCATAAAGTATTACTGAAACGAAAATAATGGCAATTACATGAAATCATATTGTAAAAATATCAAGAATGTACTATGATTATCAGAATAGTCTACAATCTGAAATAATAACTAAAGTTAAGGCCAAGCGCTCAGTCCATAATCACAGAAAGTTTAACTGAGAGCCCCACAAGATAATCAGTTTTTGGGCTGCTGAATTGGAGAGAGAGAGGGAGAAAGCGAGAGAGAGAGAGAGGGGAGGGGGTTAACGTCCACTCGACACAAACTTGGTCATATGGTTTAATTTTATTTCAATAATTCGCTTGCGCGTAGGGGTCTTTAACAGTGAGAGGAAACCGGAGAACCCGGAGAAAACCCACGAGTTTGGACAGGCGACCCTACTCCTTGTCACGTACAACCGGAGATTCGAAACCACGCCAGTCGACTCAATGACAGACTTTATAATACAGCACGCGCACGCTAACTATTCAGTCATCCAACCCCCCTTGCTGAATTGGACTTCGGTGCATATTTCAATACTGTTTCGAGTAGTTGCCTTGATGACGCAGTAGGGTGACGAAGAAGTTTATTATGAAGCCAGCCAAGTCCAATTTGATATATCCAAGGTGGGTACAGTTGCCATATTTTTAAAAAAAATATAGATGGGTGTCTGTATTCTGTGATGTTTTGTATTTGTAATACCTAAAGACCCGATTTTACTGAAATACTTGGCTCAGCAAACGGAATTGATCAAAAGTTCAGTATAGTGACACATCCTCCGGCAGCGTTGGACAAAGCATAGTAATCATTATGTTAGTGAGTATGGACTGGGGTAATGTCAAGGTGAAGTAATTATAATACGTTACTTACCATGGTTTATTTATACCAGAAACATCAGACGTCGGCGCATCGTGTCCCCAGTTATCATAGCCCCAATTATTATGTTTAGGGCTTTCTGGATGCCTGAGGGAGAAATTTGGAAAAGATTATGTAATAATAGCAGTTAAAAAAGTATGTTATCCAGGAAAGGGAACTTTAGCTATCCATACATTAATTCACGTAAACAATGCAAAATTCGAGAAAAAAATATTATCCAATGAATATAATAGCAAATCCCCAAAATAACAATAAAATGAAGTAATGAAGTTAGTTTAGTCCTCTATATAGTAAACCGTACCAGTAAACGGTTTGTATTTTACTACAGACCAGAGGTCAATACTAAACCTTACAACTAGCAGATCTTTGTAGGACATAAAGAGAGTTACTTACTCTTGATAAGCATAATATGCATTATTAGAAGGATCGGTGCTGCCTACAGATACTGCATTACCATAGTGATCATAGTTTTCATTCTTTAAATGTGGACTAACATTATCATCAAAACCACTCCTACAGTAGAAAACAATTCCTTTCTATGGGTCTTTGTTCCGCCAATCATTTATGTTATTTGGCTTTGACTTTCTTCATCGGGACATTATGAAATAGTCATGCCACAAACCACTAAGATAATAATTAACCGCCTACAGTGGCGCAGTGGGGTTGGCGGTTGGGGGCGCCCGGATGTCTAAGTGTTCATGGTCGCAAATGTTTCTCTGGATTTTGGACTTTAGCAATAATATCCGCTAATTAACAATAATACCCTTCCATGTTTCTCTTCAGATTTATGTTCTGATCAAAAAGTTGACGACGTAAACTGGAGTAATTCCTGTCTCTTTAGATACTGCATATCCTATAGATAGAACATTAAAGAGTATTGCCAGGATGTCTGCTCATTCTGTTGGAATTCAGTTTCACGTGTCCTTCAATTTTGTTTCCCCTGTGAATGACTATGTTTTTAAACCGCACTTACTTATCGTCTTCGTTTCGTCTTCTATAGCAAACACAATATGCTATAACTATTACAATAATCATTAATATTATAAAGCCAACAGCCGCTATTGATGTACCAAATACTAATTTTTCGTGTGTTGAAAAATCCCAACTCCCTATGTTAAAAAATTATATTATATTAAATGTTATAGGAATTTATATCTTTAAATTTTAATTAATTAAAGATGCATTATGTTAGATTGAAGTAAAGAGCCGGCCGTTATTGCTCTAATGGTTCAAAAATAGATAATGAAAATGATGAACCGTGTTTCAATCCGTTTTAATCTCTGCCATCCAATCTTCTAGAGAGTTGATTAGAGGTTTGTCATGTGAATAAATGTCTAAATAATAGTTTATAGAACTTTTGAGACCAAAATAAAGGCCTTCAATTTACACATTTAGCACTTACATAATGCATCTTTAAAGAATAAACAAGTATCACCCTTTTGTAATACATGGTTGTTCATTGTACAATAAATAAACAATAACAGATTCTGAATATTTTCGTCTGTATATCCTGATCCTAATACCAGCGGCTGCCAGGCAGGATACGCCCACATTTTCGAGAGATGGATAGAAAACAAGCTAAAACGAAAGTGATTTTTCCTACAATCAAGGGCCATAATTCAGGAGTTACAATTCAATATGCGCATATATCGAAAGGACCCGAGATCTATTGGTTATAAACTTACATTTCAAGTTTCAACAAAATCGGATAGAAATTGTGACCTCTATAGGATCCACAACCTTGATATAACATATTTTTACGCTATTTGAGAACGAAGGGCGGACATTTTGTCTGTCAGTTTTGGGCCGATTTTCACGAAATTCGAACTCAGTCGGCCTTTGGGTGTAACGGTGACATAATAATATGTTTTTTTTTTAAATCGGATCAAAATTATGACCTCTATAGGGTCAACAAGCTAAAAACGCAATTTTTCGTACAATCAGGGGCCATAATTCAGGAAGTTATGTTCCGATATTCGCAAATATCGAAAAGAACCGAGATCTTTGGGTTATAAACTTACATTTCAAGTTTCATCAAAATAGGACTAAAATTGTGACCTCTATAGGGTCCACAACCTTGATATACCATATTTTTACGCTATTTGAGAACGAAGGACGGACATTTTATCTGTCAGTTTGGGCCGATTTCACGATATTCGAACTCAGTCGCCCTTAGCGTGTAACAGTGATATAATAATACGATTTTTTAAATCGGATAAAAATTATGACCTCTATAGGGTCCACAAGCTAAAAACGTGATTTTTCATACAATCAGGGGCCATAATTCAGGAAGTTATGGTCCGATATGCGCGAATATCGAAAGGACACGAGTTCTTTTGGTTATGAGCATACATTTCAAGTTTAAACCAAATCGGATAAAAATTGTGACCTCTATAGGGTCCACAACCTTGATATATACCATATTTTTACGCTATTTGAGAACGAACGGCGGCCATTTTGTCTGTCAGTTTTGGCCCGATTTTCACGAAATTCGAACTCAGTCGTCCTTAGGGTGTAATGGTGATATAATAATACGGTTTTTTAAATCGGATAAAAATTATGACCTCTATAGGGTCCACAAGCTAAAAACGCGATTTTTCGTACAATCAGGGGCCATCATTCAGGAAGTTACGTTCCGATATGCGCGAATATCGAAAGGAACCGATATCTTTGGGTTATAAGCATACATTTCAAGTTTAAACCAAATCGGATAAAAATTGTGGCCTCTACAGTGTTCACAAGCTAAAAACGTGATTTTTCGTGCAATCAGGGGCCATAATCCATGAAGTTACGGTCCGATACATGCCAATATCGAAAGGAACCGAGATCTTAGGGTGATAAACCTATATTTCAAGTTTCATTGAAATCGGATAAAAATTGTGACCTGTAGACTGTTCACAAACAATTGTAGACGGGCGGACGGACAGGGGCGACGACAATATACGTCCACATAAAAATGTGGGCGTATAAAATTGATGATCAAATTTCCATCAACACTGTTTTTACTCATTTTGGGGTTATACAGTTATTAACCAAAGAAATCGAACTCAAATGAAACCTTGGCTTTCTTTGAATCAGTGTAATAATAAAAAAAAATATGATTTATGGAAGTGATTCCGTAAACTTACATTCACATTTTAGTTTAGAAGTATCAACACTCCATGTACCAGCCTTACATGTTACACTACTGTTACCAACTACACGGTGAGCAAAATCTGCACACGTTAAAATGATATCGGCACCATTTGTTCTATTTGTACTACTGGCTTCTATACCACTACCTAAGACTAACTCCGTGCAAGAACCTGAAATAAAAACAAAATTGAACATAATATTAAAACACCTGGCCTCTACATAATGCAGGAGCACACACAGACCCCCAATATTTATATGAAAGGTACACAGTGTGGAACAAGGCAACTTTGTCATGACAATTAATTACGAGTTAAAGAATCTACAAAAAATGTAGTTTTTAATGAAGTGGGTCATATGTTATCAAACAGATTACGTGTGTGTAGACTTGCAACAATCTAAAGCTGCAAAAGTGAGGCTTAGTTGTTTGATTTCAAACGTCTTTGAAGCAAAGGAACGCGAACAGAACACCAGGATTATACAAAATATTTGGAAGGGAGATATTATACCAATTACATTGTACACGTTACATTACGACAAAGCTGTGTTTGTAATCAATAAAAAAAATATGCGAAAATAGCCCTTTAATCTGATCAGTGGACAATTACATCAAAACCACAAATACTTTTCTTGAAGCAAAGCACGTCTCGGACGCACACTGACTTGAAATATCTAACCTTAGTCTGCAAAGCTTTCGTTGACCAGAGATAAGAAAGCTATATGACATTCCTCAACGACCACCACTTAAGTAAAGTCAACAGTAATGCGACAGTAGATTGGTTAGATTAGTTACAACTTTGTAGTTAAAGACGTCCACGTTTACTTTCTCGTTACCTTGTTTTATGTGATGTTGACATTCACGCTTTACTCCCAATACATATACAATATACCTTTCATGGCATGAGGGCACAACGTACATGAAGTTTTGTGTTTAACAAAATAAAAATGGTCCTGATATGTATCTTCCGGGGGTCAAGGTAAAATAGTCCCACATTTTACTTAAGATGTGTATTACCTCGAAAATCAGAGCCTGTGTCTAGTGCGCCTAGTGGCAGTATAGACATGTCCTAATGACACAATGTACTGCGTTACCACAGCACATTTAAACGCTAATTTGGCATGTATGTGTCTCAAATCACTGCTGGTGTGTCCTCGATATAATAATAGTAATAATCTTATAGAATACAGACAAACCATTGTGTCTTTTTCTAACTAAAACAAATCATCACATCCATCAAAATATTATGTCATTTTTTTCGAAAATAAAAACTAATAATCTATAACAATAATATCAATGAATTCAAATATGACATAAGTTACTTAAACTTGATTTCTTGGCTAACCGGGGCTAAAGTATTTTGAATTTAATCATATTAAGATGTTAAATCGGGTTGTTCTGATATGCCAGCTCGGGTAAGATAAGATTTTTATTGTATCGAAACATCCATTGAGGACAGCATACAATATAAACAACACCCTACACCTACACCCACCCACCACCACCCAAAAAACAAATGCAGGTGCATTTTCAAGAATGAAACAAAAGTCAGATCTGATAAGATGATGAATTATTGATGAAAAAGTTGATTGTTTGGAGATTTGATCAGACGATCACAGTATTCACACCACGGCAGTACGTAGTACTAGTACCGATGTATGGCGAAGAAGAATAATTTTATTGCAGCGAACGTTCATTGAGGACGGCATACAATATCCAAGTATTAAATACAAGTATATAAATTTGGACGGGAACAAAAATATGGACGGGCATAAATTCAGAGCACTCACATAACAAGACAGTATAAAACCCATATACAGGGTACATAATATATGGAAATACAAAACAAAACGTGCGCATGTAAAAGATAATAAAATATCATGCATATTTAACAGTTCATTTTGTCTCTCCGCAAAAAAGAGAAGTAGACAAGGGCTGCGACACTTGTGGATATAATACTTGGTGGGTCGAATAGATTTTCAAATGAAAAGGTTAGACCAATATTGTCAAGGGTTGGATATATATATATAAAATAAATAAAAGATTCTACTCTCAGGTAAAAGTATATAGAAAAATGAGGTTTTTAGAAAGGAAAAACTAATTTCATCTTAGCTAGCGCTTTCACCCACTACGGGGATCATCAGGCATTTAATAATGAGATAGTATGCAATTACATGACGTCATGGCGTTATTAATACATATTATATGTACATGACAAATGCCGTTCTTTATTTTCTAGCAAATTATTATCCGACCAGTTGAGTTTATATAAGGGGAATACCCTAAATTTTCCCTTTCCACATGTATCCAAGTGTTCACTTAGTGGAATCATTCTATTTTTGGGATTAGCAATGTGGGATCTGTGTAGGTTCATCCTTATGTTCAGTTGTGATTCGGTTTTGCCTATATACTCTTTATTACAACCTGGACATATTATCAAATATATAACATTTTTACTTTTACATGTCATAGATTGTTTAACTTTAAAATGTACATTTCCATTAATTTTTACTGTTTTCCCTTCAATAATGTTGTCACAAGTTTTACATCTATTTTCCCCACGCTTTGTGTCACTCGTTTCTGTGACTTCAGAATCAAATTTTGACGAAGTAAGTATTCGTCGTAAATTTGGGGGTTGTTTGTAAGAATTTATAATTTTTGTTGTATCCCATATTTCCGACATTTTTTTACTATTTCTTAATAAATATGTATCTTAATAAATATGTATCTTAATAAATATGTTATCTTAAATCTTCATATTTTTGGCATTCCAATAAGAAAATGTCGTCCAGATTCAGTTTTGTTTGCATTGCATTTTTACAGAGGCGATCCTGGGGTGGTATCTTAAATATCTACCCCTTTCAATGGCAAGCTGATGAGTACTTAATCGTAGGGTAGACATCGCAATTTTGAACTTATTATTAACAACCTCTAGATATTTTTGAGTTTTACTGAATTTCCTATTGAATAATCCAAAGGTTCTGAGTTTAGGGTTAGGTCCGCAAGATTCATCAAGGAGATCGTTAAACTTACTTTCTATTGAACTTTTAACATTCTGTCTCGAAATTTTTGTTGAAGAGATGTCATATTTTGCGAAAATATTTTGGATAGCCGCATACCATGAGGAAAGTTTTGGGTTTGACTGCGAAATTTTTATGTCTTCCTGGTATGCAGAATTAAGTAATAAGTTACTTAATGTATTACTATTTTCATTTCGCCTTTTATAGTACATAGTCATTTTTTGAAATATATCGATATTAACAGGAAAAAGTCCTAATTCGGCTAAGCATCCTATATGCAAGTCAGCTTACTTTCGTTCACAAAGAGTATTGGAGATTTACGCAATTTCATTTTGATTTTTGTTATTTTGTAACTCGAAATCTATTGGCATACGATTTTATGAACACAGATTTATATTTCGCATATTTGACCTCAATAATTAAAAAAAAAACTACAACATATCCACTGTTTTCGCGAGAAATGTTACTGCTGCTAAATAAAATATAATTCCTCTGGAGTGTAGATCAACGTTGGCAGCACATGAAAGGAATATTAAAGTTCTAAGTACATCGAATTCATTGACTTTCTCAGGAAACCCATAGCGAAAACAATATTTTCTAATTAAACGCCATTTCTGCAGCCCGGTGATCTGACGACGATAAAAATCAATAATCGACTTGAATAATAGACTACACCATGGTCACATAATCAACGTGACGCATCCAACCTAACCCAGACACTTTCAATTCTTTGACTTATTATTAATGGTATTTCATTGCAAAAACAATTAATTGAAATATTCTTTAAAAAATAAAGGATACAGTTTTACGCGTGTATATAGTGTTTAAGCAATATAGAATGGGCTTTTAAAAAAGTATATTTCGTAAAATTATTTTGCTTATAATGTATATTTCCATGATTATAGCTTGTTCAATTTTACAACTGAAAACAACCAGCGGCTGCCAGGCAGGATACGCCCACATTTTGCAAGAGATGGACAGAGAACAAGCTAAAAACAAACGTGATTTTTTTGTACAATCAGGGGCAATAACCCAGGAAGTTATGGCCTGAAATGTGCAAATATCAAAAGGGACAGAGATCTTTGGGATATAAAGATATGTTTTAAGTTTCATCAAAATCGGATAAAAATTATGACCTCTAAAGGGTCCACAACCTTCATATTACACACTTCTACACAATTTGCGTACAAAGAGCGGCCATTTTGTCGGACAGTTTCATTTCGATTTCCGTAATACGAATTCAACCTTCATTATGGTGGAATGGTAATGTATTTTTAACGTTTTTTTAAAATCGGAAAAAAATTGTGACCTCTAAAAAATCCGAAAGCTAAAAATGCGATTTTTCGAACAATCAGGGGCCATAATCCAGGAAGTTAAGTTCGGGTATCCGCGGTTATCAAAAGGAACCAAGATCTCAGTGTGTAATGGTGATATATTCAAATGATTTTTTAAATCGGATAAAAATTGTGACCTCTATGGGGTCCACATGCTAAAAACGCGATTTTTCATACAATCAGGGGCCATAATTCAGGAAGTATCGAAAGTAACCAAGATCTGTGGGTTATAAACATGCATGTCAAGTTTCATCAAAATCAGATGAAAATTGTGACCTCCAGAGGGTCCACAACCCTGATACACAATATTTTGACACTATTTGCGAACGATGGCCGGCCATTTTGTCGGTTTTGGTTCGATTTTTACGAAATTCGAACTCAACTATCCTTAGGGTGTAACAGTGATATATTGTAACGCTTTTTTTTAAATCGGATAAAAATTGTGACCTCTATGGGGTCCACAAGCTAAAAACGCGATTTTTCGTACAATCAGGGGCCATAATTCAGGAAAGTTATGGTCCAATATGCGTGAATATCAAAAGGAACCGTGATCTATGGGTTATAAACACGCATTTAAGGTTTCATCAAAATCTGATGAAAATTGTGACCTCCAGAGGGTCCACAGCCCTGATACACAATATTTCGACGCTATTTGCGAACGAGGGGCGGCCATTTTGTCCGTCAGTTACGGTCCGATTTTTACGAAATTCGAACTCAACCATCCTTAGGGTGTAACGATGATATATTGTAACGTTTGTTTTTAAATCGGATAAAAATAGTGACCTCTACGGGGCCCACAAGCTAAAAACCCGATTTTTCGTACAATCAGGGGCCATAAATTAGGAAGTTATGACCCGATATGCGCGAATATCGAAAGGAACCAAAATCTGTGGGTTATAAAGATACATTTCAAGTTTAACCAAACCGGATAAAAAATTGTGACCTCTACACAGTGTTCACAAGCTAAAAACGTGAATTGTCGTACAATCAGGGGCCATAATCCATGAAGTTACAGTCCGATACATGCCAATATCGAAAAGAACCGAGATCTTAGGGAGATAAACCTATATTTCAAGTTTCATTGAAATCGGATAAAAATTGTGACCTGTAGACTGTTCACAAACAATTGTGGACGGACGGACGGACAGGGGCGACGACAATATACGTCCACATGAAAATGTGGGCGTATAAAAACGCAGCGTGTTGAAAGCGGAAATCAGTAAAGGAATAAATTTATATTTGAAGTAGAAATCGGTAAAGGAATAATTTTCGAATTGAATTTAAGTTAGACAAATCTGCCGATCAAATTCTACGATATAGATTTGGTGGTGGTTTTCTACAAACGTCCATAAAACTACGATGATCCAACTAGATCAGTACTTGAGTCTAGGCTAATTTCAATATGTGTTTCCTATAAAATACACTAAGTAATAACAGAATAAAAAAAGATTAATCGACTACTTAGAAATCTGCATAATATTATGGATATAAGTGCATTTATTATCGATTAGTTAGATAGTCTGCAGGATTTAAGATCCCTATAAGAGAGTCTTAGTTTTTCTAACACGTGGCTACCTTTCTTTTAAGTGATTTCTTTGATACCATCACAATTAATATTTCTACATCACGTAAACGCCTTTAATATTTCTACATCACGTAAACGCCTTTAATATATAGCTAGAGGGTAAAAGTTCATCAAATAAAAGTATACTTATAAAAAAAGACGTTTATTATTTAGTTTCGGACAAATTGCTGAAAAAATAGAAAGGGTGTAATCGGTTATAAATTTCTATGCATAATTCTGTACATAAAGACAATAAAATGGTTGCCATTAAAAGTTATGAATGTGACCTCCGCCTTAAATACACATAAGTATTGAAAGGTCCAGATGGAACTATAATCCGTGTAAAGTATATTTGAATAAAGCGATGTTACACACTAATAGTGAATAATAGTCCCAATGAATTTAGAATTTTAATTGTGTTTTATTTATTTTCTCTAATATATCGTTGTGTAGCTGACGTCTATTTGTACATCGTGTCTATCTTACTTATATATGTATTCATCTATAAAAAAAAAACAGGTTTAATATTTAATTCCAAACTAAATATATCAGTACCCTAGACTAGTTGAAGGGAATGTTTCATATATTTCTATATTTTAACTCTAGCTAGACAACGAAGACTATGTACAGTCAACTTTGAAACATTTTCCACACGTATTCTTTGAAATGCCTTTCTAAATTAAGGATAAGAATTGTGACGTCAATGAATCAGAACTAGTAACTGTCGATTATTGACAATTGAAAAGGGCTGAATTAAATTCGACAAATAAAATAGACAAATTTGTACGATGTAGGACCACACTACACACAAACAAAACCGATAAGACAAACCTGCGGACAAGACACAAACTACACAGACATTTCAAGCAATAAACGACAAATATCAAATCCAGTGAATGGATCCAATGGCCAACTGCGCTGTATAATCCCAGGCTTTTGGAAGATCTGGTATTATTGATGATGTCACTAACGAATTATTTATTTGAGGGTAGTGCTCAACATGGTCGAGTAACTGTCACCATTATCTATATTTTGTTAGACTATAGACCATATCCTTTAAATGTTACATTTACTCAACAAACTGAGCAATATCGAGAGGTTTAAACGGTTTTTGGGCTCAATAGGTGTTTATGAATAATCGATACTATGGCTAGTGCATACCTTGTTTTTTAAACCTGTATCACCGTAGATATATCAGTCTCAGTTAGTTGTTTCGAGCCCTAGCTTGAATGATTAGGATCGCCTGTCCAACCTCGCGGGTTTTCTTCGGGTCGTCCGGTTTCCTCTCATTGCTAAAGACCTCTACGCGCCAGCGAATTATTTTCTATTTCGCAAATCAGTCCTGAAACATTGTTTTATAAAGAGTTCCCTAACCACTAGGGAATTGCAAGACTTTGGGAACAACTGAATCAACTGGCCTAGGAAACCATTAAACTTTTTTCGGTGTAAACTATGGTGGCTGTTAGCGGCCATTCAAATGTCATCTAAATCGTCGACAAGTCGACAAAATTAACCCGCCAACTAGACAAAATAACCCGACGATCGTCGCCTTCATTTCGTCGACGTGTCGGGTCAATTCTGTCGACTTGTCGACTTGTCGCCTTCGACTTATTCACAACCCGACAAGTCGACAAGTCGTAAAAATACAATTATTTCGACTTGTCGTGCGGCGACTTGTCGTGTCGTGCAGCGACTTGTCGCTTCGGAAGTTAATCTGTGCGCATGCAAGTTATCAAATCAGCAAATGCGCAAGCTCGAGTTTGACTTCCGCACGACAAGTTGAAATAATTGTATTTTGTCGAAGTCGACAAGGCGACAGAATTGACCCGTCAAGTCGACGAAATGAAGGCGGCGATCGTCGGGTTATTTGTCGTGTTGGCGGTTTGATTTTGCCGACTTGTCGACTTGTCGCGTTCTTCACAAGGCGACGATTTAGATTCATTTGAATGGCCGCTAACAGCCACCATAGTAAACAGCCTCGACACATTTTAGATTGTATTGATACAATGCATGACAAAAATTAAACAGTTATATTATTTTTGATCACTAAACTTGTTCTAGCACTACGTAAGGTCTTGTGTCCTAAACACAAACTGTCAGAAGTTCAAGGAGATCAATTGAATAAAGATCCATATATGCAGAACGCCCAGTAGATCGTTTACGTGGAGGTGTCTTTAGAGGTGGGCCCGGGGAAATAATCCAGCCATAACGTCTTGACACTGGTCCTTATGATCTAAAATGCTTCAGGATGTACCACTGTATGCCCCCTGGACATAAGATTAAGATCACGTATATCGATTGTAGAGTTTACATCATATCCAACTATGACACTTCGTTTATATTTTTAAATATGTTGATACAAACAAAACCCCTTTAAAACGAGTAATTATTATGTGTGCCAAACATCACATACTTATCTATACTTACTCATTGCTATGCTTTGTTTGTCTGTATGTATTCAAAAACTACAACATATCAATAATCTGCTATAATCCAAGTCGAAATATCCGATTAATATAATCCTCATACGTTGCATTGATATATTTTCAGTTTGATTTTTCCAATGATGGCGGATGTATAGTTTCACACAATGAAACAACAGTTATCGTGGTTGATGATGACCTCACCTATAAAAGTTAAATAATGCATTTAATAACAGATGTTATTTAGTTGACGTCATTAATTGTATTAAGGCAATCCTTGGTGGGATGAAATATTCATTTCGATTTAAAGAAGTCATGGAGAACGTGTTGCTACATGTTTAAAGCTGTATTTATCGCGGTGTCCAATCCATATAATTACATCTTATAGCATTATAACAATTTAAAAAGAGTTTGTTTTATTTTTCATCTAACATGCCAAAGACTACACAATAGTCATTACAATTCACGTTGAATATATTTCCATAATGACAAACTACATCGAAAATTTCTTAATTATACAGTATGAAATCATAGATTGAACCGAACCAATAGGAAATATACCGACCTCATTCTTGACAACTGTCTTTAATTATAGTAAGTTTAGTTATCTTCAAGTTACATGCAATGTTAGCCTACATGTTGGACAAAGTTACTAAACTATCTAGTGGACTGAGCAACAAGTACACCTAACTAAATACTATGAAAACTGTTTTAAATTTAAAATAAGTATAATTTAAACACAATCAAATAGGAAAGAATAGTATATTTCGTTATAAATTCATTGACTGTAGACTGTTTCATTAAATTTGTGAATCTGAAAGTAAAATTAAAGATACTTCACAAAAGTCAACCATAAGTAAAAACAATTTTTTTTACCTTACGGAAATCTCCACGCCAGATAGAACTTGGTGTAAATATTCCTTTTACAACCACCACAAAGACAATATGTGCAAAGTATGGTAACTATAGGTCCGTGTCAACTTTTGTTAAAACATAGCCTTAAACCAAATAACTGTAGATAGTGATAACATCCACTTTAAGATCCTTTGTATTCGGTATCTTCGTACACTTGCCTTTAGGCGTGTGTGTTGTGGAAATACCGTGTAAGAAATGTTATCGTTGCCTACACCTAATCCACAGCAAGATGTCATGAATGCTGGCCACTGTGTATGTTCTTTAAAGTATGTTCTTACAAGAAAACGTTTGTAGAAAAATATGCCTAAATGTTTACTGTTACACATAGATATGTGACTTAATCTGGAGTGTAAACACAATCGTCTCTATTGGCTAATTGGTGAAAATATCACATTTATGTTATAAGACGGTTGCGCCATTCTTAGAGACCTTACAGATAATCTTTAGTGGGTTATACCATGGACCTTAGTATTATAATAAGGTCCATGGTTATACAGTATTGTAAAAGTTGAATATCTAAAAGGAATATCAGTCCAAACATGATTCAATTCCGTTCAGTATTTACAAAGATGAATTGAATTTTTTTTAACATTCGGCATGGATCCACTGCAGACGAAATAAACTGGACATGGTCAAAACAAGCCAGCGCCATCTATAATCTTCACTAAAAGGTTTTGGCGGGCATGGTGATTATCTACCCTTGAGATTTTTATTTTCTTTGGTTAATTAAATGTTAAATAACCTGACAAGGAGTAGGATCGCCTGTCCAATCTCGTGGGTTTTCTCCAGACCCTCCGGTTTCCTCCCACTGCTAAAGACCCCTACGTGCAAGCGAATTATTGAAATAAAATTAAAACCATATGTTAGTCCCGAAATGACCTAGTTTGTGTCGAGTGGGTTATCCGTTTGATGAACGTAGGGAAGCAAAATATAATTGTTGTAAATCTGAGCTATATTCAATAGTAAGTTGACAAAAGGCAATTACGATATCTTTTTTAGCGACATTATTTTCTCTTTATTAAGAATGTGCATAATTTATTTATATAACCTATTAAGAAATTTACATTAACGATGTTCGTTTTATGAATATTGTATTATCAAAACTATCAACATGCATAATTAAAAGAAGCATTAGAGCTTTGGTGGTCTACTAAAAGGATTTTCGATCTGACGCCACATGATATATTATGATTACTAATTTTGTGAAAATTAGATTGTATGCAAAATCTGCCATGTCATCTCTGACATATAGACGTTTGAACTTTAAATTTGCGAGTCGTACAAAAGTCTTAATGGTTTTCATTACTCAGATATAGATGTTTAAACTTTCAATTTACGGGTCGGGTCGTACAACTGTTTTAGTTCTTTTCTAGGAATTTAACGAACAATCGTGCAAACTGCTCTACACAAACAAGACCAGTCCTTTGATTTTAGTTGATTAATTCGGGGTGTATAATGTTAAATTTATTTCAGGGAAAAGTGATAATATCTCTTTATGAAATAATATGTACTCCTTTAGAGACATTTACAGACTTTTGTATTACTTAAGGACATGTCAAATATATACTTCTAAACCCCCAAATCCTGCATTCCAGCATTAAACATTATATAGATAGAACGCTCTTAAATAAGAATGTCAGAGTGGTCTTATGTATTGATAATGAAATAATCTAAAGTTGTTGTACATTTGTTTGTGGTATGTAAATATCGGATATCAACAGGGATAAATGACGCCACGGTTTCCTCCAATGATAAAGCTTGATCAAACAAATAATACGATGGTGTCATTTCCCCCAAATTGCATTTTAAACTTTTCACCATGTTCGACTAAGGTTTTAATTGGTAAATGACTACTAGGTTTTCTATTGTGTTGAAACTAATAGTAGATAATAAATCCCTAAAAATCTATAATCTATCATCCTTTAAACCCCACCCAGGAATTTTAACTATAGTTTATTTTTAGTAAGTATATGATACGTTAAAAGCTTTCTTTTTAAAATTATATTATTTAACTAAACTATACCCTAACAGTGCTTTCAAATACCAAAAGTTACTTTAAACAACGTTGCTTTTAAGGGTCACATGTAACATTGGGGTTCCACAGTGGCTAAGTGGGTGAGAGGCTGGCTCGCTAGCCTGGAGGTCGGGTGTTCGATCCATGCATCATTCGGATTTTCCGGCGTGGTTCCCCCTTGTCAGTGATTCACGTAAAAGATCCCTTGACTCGATATAAAAGTAGGCCTTAGTGCCGCTTTCCGGGCAAAAATTCTCCATAGCACACTGTATGGCGTATGCCCGTCTTCATTAGCCCAGTTCGGAGCAGAACATTAGGACGTTAAACCCCATTTCATTTCATCTAACATTGTTCACTCTAATGTTCATCTACGATATACTTGAAGCCAGATTCCAACCTGTTGAGGTGGGGGTGTGGAGGGAAACACAGACTCTTGAAATTACAAAAAAATGTCAACATTAGCCAACTTAGGGTAAGGTAGATTGTGCCAGCTTTCCTTAAACGACTTGAAAACCACTAAATACTTTGACAGTTAAAACGTTATAAAAATAGATCATTAATTAAAATAATTGGGGCATAAAATTCTAAAATACAGAGTGTGGCATTTTATTATTATGGCGTGGTGGTCACTTTTATTTGTCACAGATTTCACTAAGTTTGACAACATGTCATTATATAATGTCATAATGTGACATGTAAATGTACACGTAGTGGTCTATAGAAGTCATATTATAGGCACCTAAGCTTATATCATTATTCATTAAATTGTCTTACATTTTTGACATGCCTAGCACACAAACGAAATTCTTAGCACGATTTCAAGGCAGGTCATTAAATGGTATACATATAGCGCTGTCAATATTTTCAAATCGTAACAAAATGCACTGGAACAAATGTTTTCAGGCGTAGTTTCATTAATTAATTAAGTAATTAGTATATTACCCCAAGAGGCGGGAAAGTTCAATTTTATTTTAATATTACTAGATCTGGGTAGAGTGTGGTTGTGTTCTATACAAGAACCGAGTATCGGCGTACCCGGCAATGGCCAGAGTATGGGTGCGCCCAGCTATTACCAGTAGTAGCAGTACTTTGGTTCTTTAACGTCTGCTTCCACATAAATGATATCGCCGACAAGACCCATGAGAGCCGAAGCTTCCTGTATTTTTCGAATATGATTTTCCAATCTTTCCATTTACGGCCATGGATTGGTTTAGTGGGACCGCTACCAATAGAGTATAGATGTGCTATTTAAACTACCAGCTACTATCTAAAAGGTCAGAGTATGGGTGCGCCCAACAAGAGCCAGGGTATAGATGTCTCAGCAAGGGGCAGGGTATAGATCCGCCATGTAAGGACCAGGGTATGGATAGGGCAGTTAAGGAAATGAAATGAAATGGGGTTTAACGTCCTACTGTTCTGCTCCTATACTGGGCTAATGAAGACGGGGCAGTTAAGGAATAAGAGACTATAAAATTCAATTCACCCTAGACATACAGTGATATATTTTAGTAATGCATAAAATCGCGTGTTTTCTGTTGTGCGATCATAAAACAAGGTTTATGTGTCTAGATACCCGTGTTGTGTGTGTTCTTCTGGAATCAAGCTGCTGTCTGGCGATTGCTCACAGATATGGCAGTTTTGTAGCTTGGGTTTTGACGTCCAATTATCCATTTGGTCAAATATGATGTAAACAATCAAAGAGATTGGTCAATTTAGGCTAATAACGTCGAACCCCACCCTATATGGAAACTTGAAATATACCAAAGAAACTTCCCACAAGATATATGTTATCAACCTAGAATTGAATGTTTAGCACATTATGACTCTTTTTTTTATATAACAATATGTCATTCATTCACTAAGTTGATTTAAGTATATACATGTACTGCATATATGTGAATCTAATAACTTGCCAAAGATATTAATTAATACAATATAATGCCATCATTTTTCTATATTCCTTGTCTATAAATTTGAAAACAATGTTGCAACGACAATATTTCTACAAATTTTGCCCAGACAGCAACACTATGTCCTACTCTTATATCGAATTCCAACTGTCAAGGGATCTTTTACGTGCACGCCAATGTGTATACGGGACCTCGGTTTTTCGTCCCATCCGAACGACTAGACAGCTGTCCTTGTCAGGCCACCCGTCCTGCATCACTGACAAGGGGAAAACACGCCGGAAAATCTGGATGAACTTTCTCGGCCAATGGAGAGATCGAACACCCAACCTCCAGGCTAGCGAGCCAGCGTTTTACCCACCGTGACCCCCGTGAATGTAACACACCAGATCCATTCACTTGCGTTAACATAATAGTACCTTGTTTGTTGTTTGCGTGCAATGTCTATATGGTTTGTGTCTCTTTTACCCTGCATGTTTTGCTTGTTGTTTTGTTTTTCATTTTAAGTGAAGCCTGTATCATTACAGATCCGGGACTGTTCAGTTGACCCAAGGATCCATTCACTTGATTTGATATTTGTCGTTTATTGCTTGCATTGTCTGTGTAGTTTGTGTCTTGTCCGCAGGTTTGTCTTATGGGTTTTGTTTGCGTGGAGTGCGGTCCTCATGCACTTCTATAATATAATATAGATTTTGAATATTATAAAAATTACAGTAGATATGCATGAGGGCTATGTGAACTTGTATAATGAATGAGAAGTGATATCAATTGCTCTAGACTTTAGAAGCCCAATCTACTTAATCTACACGAGGAGTGGTCATCTAATGTTTAGAAAAATAAGTTACGTACGTCTAACTAGTCTCGACCGCCTCAGCACAAATTATGTCCGCATTTTGAGGAATTTTGTCTGGACAATAATTTGTACATACAGTCGCTAATTTATAATTGTTCGTGTATACCGTTCATGGGCAAGTTTGCCAACACAAGCCCACAATTTAATGTGGAGGTCTTTTCCTCCCAATAAACCGAAAGACGTACAGATATCTCCGTTTGATCTTTTGTCCAGACCATTGAAATTGAAAAGAAAACAATTGAGATGCAGGAATCGAGATAGTTCGAACTTGAATTTCAGAAATCCAACGAAGACAACCCCAGGATTAATAGTCATCAGTCTAGTCATCAGCAAAATAGTTAACAGATCTTATTAGCAAAGCTAGGCAGACTACAGATCTAACTTAATTGCATTTATCTTGATAGAACACACAAGGGATAAACACCACATTATATTATGTACTCACGTCCGAAACTATACCAATGCATTGGGAGATATATAAATTAAATAAAAACTAAATC